GTGTAAATCACTTGCTATGAATGAAAAGGATACCACCATAAGGTGCAACTATCAGCACAAACAAAAGAAAGACTCTAAACATCCCGTATATTACGGCCATCGTCTGGTTGCTTGGAGGTTAACGTGTGAATGAATGCAGGCTGCGAAAAGTATTCATGTAAATTGTGTGGCAAGAATTGATTGGTTGCGACGATATGCGCACGAACCAAGAGCCGAACTGTTGAATCTGGTTATACAACAATTATCTTTTGATATTCCGTTTACCTGTTACACGACTTATTTGTGGCCCACCATGTGTATTTATTCCCTGGCCAGAATTAGCCGATTAAAGAACTGATTGGACCAAATTTGCTCGTCTATCGCTTACCAGTTGAGGGACTCTACGAGTAAAACATTTGTCCCGACCGAATTTATTCCTCTATTGGAGCATCGTTAAGCAAGATCCCAGTTTAATAACACCACTTTGTCACACACCCTTCATTCCACAGTATTAGAAAAGACCAGACGCAATGTCTTTGATTTTCGGTACTCTCCACTTTAATTAATTAGATTTTGCTTTGTGCATAAATGGGTGAGGGCAAATAAAAAAAACTTATTATTCATAACTAAATTAATTATGTAAAATCGATTGGGTTTGACGATTGTCTTCCATTGCACTTGTTGGATAGATTGCATTTAAAACGATAAATATGACTTTTTGGTGCTCTACAGATTCCCGTGAGTAACTACGATCTACGCTTTTGATTGATAGTAATCGTTACACCATTGTTTCTCGTTCAGATTTAGAGAATCTTCATTCTCCATGGTTGGTGTGGCTCAGTAGAATAAAACTTCAAAGTCGGTTGTTTGTTATCTTTCAATAATATTCGCGTTTAGTCGAATTATACATAAATAAGACATTCTTCATACGATCCCTCTCTGGCGTCAAAAGTTCAAGTCGTGAATCTTCCTTCCCCTATCTGTTTGCATACCTCCTCTCACAAAGTGATCAATTAGGTGAGTGCCATTCCGTCGATCAACTGAAGAGTACTAACTAGTACACAATCTATTGAATATCGTTTTTTCATTAGAATCATGATACTAATTTGGTGCAATACTGCCGATTACGGGATGACTAATAACGCAACCAATCATGGCCACTAGAAAGATCCCGACTGTTTGTGATCCAGTCAACATGGACCATCTTAAGACCATTCTTACTTATTTGCAACCTCCAAAGCGAACCGTTACGGTGACAGCATTATATATATACCCGGTAAAGGGCTGTAGAGGCATTGCTGTCACATCACGACGCACGAACGAAAATGGATTTGAGTATGATAGACACT